TTGTTTCGCTCGTGCTTATGCTTGGGGGATACGGTTACATTAGCATTTTCTATTGCAACATAATCTCACCCCCTACCCCGACTCTTATATAGCCTGCAGGGCGTGTCTCCTTCTCGCGCGCCCGTTTTTTCTTGTGCCACTACTTCCAAGCGCCTGCTACGCAGGCTAACTCTTATATAGCCTATGTCATCCAGATTCACTTAAATTTCGGTTAAAATAATCAGTGTATAATTGGGAAAGGCGACGTGCAAGCAAAACAGCCAAAAAATTTGTATTCATTTTGGTACCTTCTTTCTTGCAGCGGCAAATAGGCTGCCATCAGGGAAAAGGCTAAAACGTGAGTAGATTTATGTAGCATTGTTTTAGGTGTGCGTTTGCAAAGTGTCCAAATTTCCGCGAATTTCCTTCTAAGGAACTGTCGTGGTATCCGTCAGGGGATGAAATGAAACTCAGTCTCTGGGAGATATGGGGTAGAATGTGCGCAAAATGATGAAGTGCTAGCTAGGATGTTGAAACTACTGCTGAAAATGCGTTCAGATAAAGCTTTCATCTTAATTTGCGGCTATTGAATCAATGTTGAATCAATCTTAAAATTCTTGAGCCTTTAGCGCTCCAATTTTGAATCTTTGACAAATAATTACTGTCTTGCCTGGCTGTAAAGAATATTCTTTATGACTTCATGTATGTACGCAAGGCGGTGTAGATTTGTTAATTTTGAATTTCCTTGACTGAACCGATCTCATTTTTTTTTTACAGAATGCTTGCAGCCTCTCGGAATGGAGAGCAAATACATACCGGACTCTCAGATCACAGCCTCGTCTGAGTGGAACAGTAATCACGGCCCTTCAAATGCCAGACTGAACTTTCAGGCTGGAGGGGGAAGAACTGGTGCATGGTCTTCTAAAACTAATGACGTTAATCAGTGGCTGCAGGTGGATCTCGGACAGAAAACAAGGGTGACGGGAATAAGGACTCAGGGACGATCAGACTTTGACCAGTGGGTTACAAGCTTTACTGTTTCCTACAGTGACGACGGCGTAAACTTCACACCCTATAACCCAAACACGGTATGGAATGATTGTATTCCAGTGCTGATATCTTTTGCGAAAATCACAACAACGTTTTACACATCAGTTTTTACTCATTGTACTTATCCTGACCCAGGCAAATAGTAATTGTGATTCCAAGAGACAAACTTGCCTGATGTATTGTTGATCGTGAAAATTGTTTATCTTTTTCAATTGTAGGACTTCAGTGGAAATAGCGACCGTAACACCGTTGTGACAAACCGTTTTAGACCATCCATCCTTGCTCGCTACGTTCGTGTTCATCCTAAAACATGGTACGGACACATCTCTATGAGGATAGAGCTCTTGGGTTGCGCATCAGGTAATGCCAACTGGTACAACGGGAATGCAGTCGTTTCTTCCGGAAGCAGCAACCTCCCAATATACTAAGACTTGGTAGTCGCTAAAAGGAGGTTCTTGCACCTCACGGGCTTGTTTTGATTAAATGACAATTGGCGACAGAATTGTTGAGACATTGTCCTCAAATGGAATAACTCCTGAGAACAAAACAATCCAAACCTCCCCCTCTCCTCCATTCAAAGGTAGGTGTTTGATGTTTTCTACAGGAAGCTCGAATAGCGGCACAACATTGAATGGAGGGGATGGGGGAGGGAAAGCTTTCTTTTGCCTGTTTTAAGATAGCAAAACGTTAGAATGGCTAGGGCGAAATGTTTCAACCTATTTTGTCGCCGACAATTGTAGTTTGTTATGAGTTTAGTTTGGAGACATACTGAGCTTCACTTTGACTCATATATTAAACAGCATCAACTGAATGATGTATTTCGTCACGCCGAAATACTTGTCTCTGGTCACATAATTAGTTACCAATGGTTTCTGTTGACACGTTGAACTTTCAGGATCTTAATATTGTAAATTTAGTTAAGCCGGTTTCCGCTATCATTTTGTTTTTCGCGTTAAATCTCTCCAGCCAAAGATAGTTTAGTCATTCTGGCACCTGATAAAACTTCAGGAGTTCTCATGTTCTGTCTAGTAGAACCTCACTATCTCTGACCATTAATTCCTTATCGCATGTTCTGTCAAAGGACTACTGATATTTTTCGTCCATCCCGTATTATCGTGCTCATTTTTTGCTTGCGGGAGCGGGACGACTGTCATTGCGGCGAAGGATACTAAGTGAATAGATTTATGCGAATTCACAGCTACTTGGAAATTGTATGACTTGTTGATCTCCATACTTCGTTCATGATGGCCAAAATCATTCTTTTGCACTGACGAATCACCGTAAGTGAAAGCCCTTGATCTGGCACTCTTTTAGTTGGCCTCAAAGTTTTGCGAAGGTGTTCCAACGTTGCATTAATGAGCTTCTACAGAAATTGCTTTAGTGCAAATAGTTTAACACTAACATATAAAATGCTAATATCTCCTATTTCTAGGATATTATACTGTCGGATGTTTTAAAGATAGCCCCGATCGCGCGATTCCAACAATGGAAGGAAAAGATCCTATTCTGGATGGAAAGTACCCTGTACGTAAGAATCCCATTGTAAAGTGTGCCAAGGCAGCTTGGAGGGCAGGCTATAAAATGTTCGCAGTTCAGGATGGTGGATGGTGTGCAGCCAGTGCTACTGCACCACAGACCTATAACAAACATGGCAGATCTGCTGCTTGTAAACCTGATGGCGAGGGTGGACCTTGGGCTAATCAAGTTTACTCTTTTAGAAGTAAGATGTTTGATTCCCGAGTACCGTTAAATTTGCCGGCTCCAAATCAAGTTATTTTACATGATGTTTTCTTCTAGCAGGGAGTTTATGATTAATGCCTCCAAATCAGATTTGTGAAAACCTGAATGCAGCTCCGATTGTTTGAGGTGGTCATGCAAAAATATTCGGGAGGAAGGAATAAAAAATTCCGTATTGTTCGGCTGTTGTTAATTCAACCCGACGCTTTAACTCTATAAAGAGGTTTAAAGACTATATACCAGATTTGATTTTAACAATATTTAGTGTTATCTTTAATCCTGAATTCGTAGACAAAATTGCCTAGTTGGAGGGAAATAACTAAAATTGCTGAACTGTTTTTAATTTAAAAAATTCCAAACCTGAATGTCGCTTTCTCTTCCTGGTAGACCTTTGCTTGCCCTCTTTTACCCAGTCATCCTAAATTCATTCCAGGACTCGTTGACTTCTTTGCCGTATGTTGAAGAGTTTGTGGCTCAAAGCTGTACTACCTAAGTCGCCCAGATTTTCCTCTGTAAATTATCGTCAATCGCGATCCTCTGTCTGGAAATGACAACTCAGCAGTTTCTGGCTCCTCCTCTTGGACGTTTCCAGATAGCTTTCCGAATGTTAAGCTCAAATACCGCTCAAAAGCTTCTTTGTGTATAAAACCTTGTGATTTTTCGTCACTCGACGTTCTTGTTTCAAGCATGACTTCAGACAACTTATTCGAAATGCGACTTTGAAATCTTTGCATATAAATAACTCACTGAAAGCTATTTGGAGCTTTGTTTATACCACCAATATCACAATGGAATGTAGAAATACAAAAGAAGGTGAAAGGTAGACGCGCTTTTCTTTATTTCATTTTTGGATCCCTTAGAATCCCGGCCATTGAAGGTTGAAGGTAAAGATAAGGCGTTTATCGCCTTTTAGCTCGTAGTTATTTGATATATCCACCTCGGGCTGCGGCCTCGGTCGATATATCACATCACCCCTCGCTTCAAGCTGATAACCCTCACTTATAGACCTATTTCATAATGGCAGCCTGGTAATATATTTTTTTAAATGTATGACAATTCTCCTTCCTGACCTCGCTGGGCCGCCATTATGAAAGAAGTCACTATATTTGTGTTCTACCGAGGAGTAGTAAGACCAAGCGGGTTAACACCACGAACGTCGGATATGAAGGGCCCGAAGGCTCAAGTCTTGCATTCGCGTTTCCTCAGAAAAACAGAATTTCTCTTCCTCTTTGTGTCTCTTCAAGGTGTCTAAATATGTACTGGTGACATGCTGTTAGAGACAACCCTGCTGAAGTTTAAAAAAAAAAAACGGTTCTGTAGTCGAAGGCGCCAGCAGATTCCCACCTACAATAATTGAAAAATCGAATTTGAGTGTTTTTATCACGGTTAAGACGAAACCAGGAAACCCATACCATTACTTTCCAGGAAAAGGTAGATTTTCTGCGGATGCAGTTGGCGAAGACAGTGAGGAAATTATTGGGGAAGACGAAATGAAGGAACAGCTAGATTCTGATCTCAGTGAGCAGACAGTTTACGAAGCCGCCAATGAAGGAGTTTTAGATGAGTTTCAAAATGACGAGGAGCAGGCGCTAAATGCAACAAGGCAGGGTGAATATGAAAACCAAAGCGATTCTGTAGGAGCTGAATTTGACCGGCAGATGACTGAAGCGGCGTATAACATTGCTGGGAATAGTGATGCTGAACTGGAACAAAAGACTACAAAGATTTTTGATAATACTGGTATGACCGATGACATAAATAATCAGAGTACAAATTTAGCTTATAAACAGAATGTGCCAGGGATGTCACTGGCGAGAGGAAAAGAACCTTTGAAGAATGATTCCCAAAAAGAATACAGAGGTATGGGAATAAAGGCATCAGTTCCTAACACTGGAAATAGAAATCCTGTTCTTGGAATGGAAGGAACAACAGCCTCTGACGAGCAGAGAACAGCTGCGATGGAGCAGATGGAAGAGCCGGGAACCTTGACTGACGAAGAACCGTTCTCCCAACTTTAAATGAATTTTATTGGTTCCAAGATGAAGTGAGAAAACTGGACAATAATCAACGTTGACCATAATCTTGGACCATCTAGAACCATAATCTATAACTTTCGGAAACGGCTGAATGTTGTTGTCAAAATCTCCCAGTGTTAAGTTATCTATTAAACAGCTTTTCAAACGTACTTACTTTCTTCGTTCTTTCTGATAACTTTTCCCGTGGGCAACTTCCACCAAGTCGCCATTTGATGATTATGACATGAGATTAAAAAACCCTTCTGAAAAATGGCTTTCATGTTCATTGCAGTTTGAGTGCTTTAATTTTTCAATCTAGACGATAAAAAGATCATCGCCCAACGTGGGGCTTGAACCCACGACCCTGAGATTAAGAGTCTCATGCTCTACCGACCGAGCTAGCCGGGCTCCGATGATAGTGTATGTTAAGAGAGATGACCTACATGTAATGCTGTCTTGTATTCATAAAACAGAGTCATATATGGCGTGCTTCTGTGTAGTTATATATACTTCATAGATAGTTTCAAAATTTGGAATAACGAAAAAATAGCCAACAATTCGCAGGTGGATTGGGCACTGATTATTTCGTACACTGAATAGAATCGAAAAACAGGAAACTGGCCTCCCAGTGATCGCCGACTTTTAAGGCATTTTAAGAAACCAAGACTATTTTTTCCGTCTTTTTTCGAGGCATTCTTGATCACTGCTTTTCTAGTGATTTAATAATTTTTCTGGACTGAATGAAAAAAAACATTTCGCCGCCCAACGTGGGGCTCGAACCCACGACCCTGAGATTAAGAGTCTCATGCTCTACCGACTGAGCTAGCCGGGCACCGATGATGGTGCATGTTAAGAGAGATGACCTACATGTAATGCTGTCTTGTGTTCAAAAAACAGATTCATATTTGGCGTGCTTCTGTGTAGTTAAATACTTCATACTGTCGATAGTTTCAAAATTTGGAATAAGGAAAAAATAGCCAACAACTCGCAGGTGAATTGGGCACTGATTGTTTCGTACTCTGAATAGAATCGAAAAACAGGAAACTGGCCTCCAAGTGATCGCCGACTTTTAAGGCATTTTAAGAAACCAAGACTATTTTTTCCGTCTTTTTTCAAGGCATTCTTGTTCACTGCTTTTCTAGTGATTTAATAATTTTTCTGGACTGAATGAAAAAAAACATTTCGCCGCCCAACGTGGGGCTCGAACCCACGACCCTGAGATTAAGAGTCTCATGCTCTACCGACTGAGCTAGCCGGGCTCCGATGATAGTGTTTGTTAAGAGAGATGACCTACATGTAATGCTGTCTTGTGTTCAGAAAACAGATTCATATTTGGCGTGCTTCTGTGTGGTTATGTACGTCATAGATAGTTCATTATCCTTTTCTCTGACTAATTACATTAGGGTATTGGACGAGATCCCTGTCAAGGAACACGACAAAGGACTCCGAGTTCTCAATCGTGTCCGAGAAAGGGAGGAAGGGCTGACCCTTTTCACTGACACTCTTTGCGAACTGACAACTTTGCATATAGTATTCAGGTTTATATGATGGTTAATACGTCATCGCATGGGATAATTTTCGAGTGATTTAAAATTTTTTCTGGACAGAATAAAAAAAATTTCGTCGCCTCACGTGGGGCTCGAACCCACGACCCTGAGATTAAGAGTCACATGCTCTACCGACTGAGCTAGCCGGGGACCGATGATGGTGGATGTTAAGAGAGATGACCTAGCTATAATGCTGTCTCGTATTCAAGAAACAGATTCATATTTGGCGTGCTTATGTTCAGTTATAGGTCACAGATGGTGTCAAATTGTGGTAATAAAAAAATAGTCGACGGAGCTAGCCGGGCACTGGGGTCGGCCATAGGGGCAACTTATTTCTGGGATTGTTGAATACGATTGGGTACCGATGTCAAAAGTTTTAGTGATAGGCTGCTATCCCTCGTAACAGGTTTTCAAGACAACAAAATCTTCCGATCAATTATATTTTATTACTTAATTGCTCCGTTAATTAAAATAATGTTACCAAAAGAAATTACGTTTACACGTTTGGTTACACTACTCTAATTTAATATTTTCAACCGTTTGTCCCTAAACCGACGACAAATTCAGTATATATTAACTTAAACTGTCATTAAAAACTTTATTATTTGCACTACTCGTATAAAGTTCGATGCTGTTATTTATTCGTTGTCCATGGATCGTTGGATGCCTCGTTTTTTCTTGTATGGATCCCACACTTCTTCAGCACATTCATTATGGTAACAGAACAGGTTCCTCCCAGCGCAACTTCCAGGACAATCGTCATCGCTTGTACAGGATTCGCCTAATAGGTCGCATGGGTTCATGTTTCGCGTCTGGAATGGAACATGCTATAGACAAGAAATATGAAAAAGGGCAGTCATCTTAACGAACTGGTTAATCCCTGAGAAAGACAAGTACATTCGAGTCTGACAGTTTAAGTTACGATATGTGTAGTTCAGTGTTGTCACTTAAAGTTCTTCGTGTACGGCTGAGTTCCGTAGAACGTGCAGCGAACACAGGTATTAGACAGTTAGTCAAATGGTCGCAAGAAGTTAAAAAACTGGAAAATTCTAAGGCTGTCACCCCAAAAACCGGTCCTATTTTAAAACATTCTCTTAAAATTCTTGATAATTTTTTGACGTACTGCTATAGTGTTCATAAAATATCTAGCATAAGTTTTGATGTCAATTGTTGCACTTTGTGTATTCGCTTTAATTTAATGTGGCCTAAGGTCTCAACTGCGATGATAAATCGATCCCAGACTTAACCAAACTTTCAATGCGATGTTGACATTGTTGACTTCCACTAGTTTTGCGCTGTGTAGCAAATTGTAACTTGGAAGATATACCAAGAGCACAAAAATGAAATTATCAGATGTTGCTATTACTTAGTAAAAATCAGTAATATTCCATTTTCTGATCGATGACTAATAAAATAGAGCTATTCGGCTAACTCAATGTTGTACCCAATTAAAATCTCCCGGGGTTAAGATTCTTTGTGTATTGTATTTGCATTATAACGTGGCATTCACATTTAAATGATATGGAAATCCCTGAAACAAAACGTTTTATTCCCAAACGGTTTGAATTGGGTACAACATTGAGTTAGCCGAATAGGTCTATTGGTGATTACAATATGCTAAGAACAAATAATATTCCAGATTGCGTATTGATACTAACTTGAACGTCTTGACAAAAAGGAGCTAACGAATTGTCAAACAATTAACGAAATATGTTTTTAAAGCGTTGCTTTGCCCATGTTCGATATATTAAAATTCTAACATGAATCCGAGGCTTTAGGGTCGAAATTACAAAATTTTCACGACTCCATTTCCTCGCAATTCTCAGAAGAGACTTGAGCACAAAGACAACCAAACCAAATGTAGAAAAATGACCACAAAGCCTCGGCGTTATAATAGAATTTTAATATATCGAACGTCGGCTATTCAGTGTAATTATCTCCAACGTTAATTCCTCGGGGGAACCATTTTCAACAGGTTTGATACCCGGCTTATTCCGAACTAAAGGACCGACCATTTGACATTTTAAGGGGGGGGGGGGGGGTATGGGTGATTTGGTTTGGGTAAGAATTTTTTCTCCCAAACCTCTGGTGATAGCATTTATTTCCCGACATACAACTGTGTAAGATTTTTTTTCCAGCTTTATACGCCATTAAAGATATTTTTTTCAGTGTAGGAATCAGTCTGCAGGGTATTTTTGTCTGAAATCACCCTTCCCCCCCCACTCCAAAGTCAAATGGTCGGCCCCTATAAATATTACACTGTTCTTTATAGAACAGGCAAAATTATGTGATCCTTGAAAACACAGATATGTTAGCCTCGGCTAATACTCGTTATTATAAGTAACAATCTTCACTATTGACTGGCCATGGCATTCGAAAACCTTTCAAGTCTTCAAGCAATTGCAGTAACATCATTTGAAACTGTAAATGGATGATCATTGCAGTATATATATTATTCGCCAAACCTGGCCAAAATGCGGGAGCGGCAACATTTAACATGCCAAATGCAAAAGCTGGTGTCACCTTGGAGACTAGAACATGATGTTTAGGTTCCAAACTTACCTTCTTCTTGTAGCGTGTTTTAAGATTTCTGGCCATCATGTCTTTAGTACAGATGAGCAATACAAGGCAAGTAATTAACAAAGCCTTCTTTTCCATGTCTTTGCCTTTGTAAGGATCTCGGTTAAACGTTGGCGTCAGCTAGAGAGAAAAAAAAGTAACGCTTACCGTTGGAACGCACGTTTGAACTGATTCTCGCTGAAGAAACTGCCGCTTGTTTTATTCAGCATTTCATAGAGCATCATTGTTTTTTAAGCGTGGGAATCGGAGAGGCCGTCATCTGGAGATGGGACAAGTTAGAGCGTCCAAACTGAAGACGGCCTTTGAAAGAGTCGTCTCACTTACCTTTGTTCACACGATTGATTTTTTTTTACAATAAATAAAATACAGTGTGAGCAAAATTTATCCCCGCTATAATTCAAATTAGTGGAACGGCAAGCTCCTGGTAACCATATTTTATTTCACGTTTTCTCTGACTTCGATCTTTTTTTGACGCAGACAAAGTTTGCGCCCGCTATGAAAATAAAACTGATGATAAAACTGGCCACAGAAACCTCGCACAATTAATTCAATTTACTCTGTGAAGCTGTCATTTGTGGAAATTGTAAAATACATCGACTTTAAAAATTGAGAAGGGCAGAAATAATATTTAAAATCACTTAATGAGCCGACTAATTGTTTTAAAGAGTGGGTCGCATCAGACAGTTAATTACGAATATTCCAATCATATTAGAAATGTTGGGAAAAAGTGTTGCTTTAATTTGTATAACTGGGAATCAGAACACCTGATACAAACATAGCTATTATAATCACAAGAGAAGTTGACCAAGAAGTTTTAACAATATAAATTAGTTTTTCAGAAACCGAATAAATCAAATTGGTACATATGTGTTATTTGGATAATAATCAGCCGGGTACTCATCGAAAGATTTACAAGAAAGTTTGTTCGATGTGTATTTATTATTTTCAATTAAAAAAACCATCAACTTCATTTATTTACGATTTATTTCAATTCAGAAAGCCTTTACCTGGCTTTCGTGTTGAGTTATTGTTTAAAGAGGGAAGTTATAAGTGTCAGTAATTTGGCTAGGAAGCGATTAATTTTTGGCAGGTTATTGGTCCGGCTTCAGTGCACGAAACCACCTCTGCGGATTAGAAGCTATGTGCTTTTAATTTATCAAAATACGTGTATAAATTCAACGAAGAATGAGAGAATAAGCGGAGTAAAATCAGGGAAAACTGGAAAAAAGAAAGGATTAGGTGGAGCAGTTGTCATCAGTGACGTAATTCCTTTTATGAACTACTTATTGTATCAGCATGATTCAGCAGCTTTAAAACAAAAATTACAGTAATGATAATAATCGTATTAAATCGAAATATTCAGAGTTATTTTTATTTTCAGACTTGCTCCCCATACAGTGATATTTAGTCACAGAGCCTTGTCAATTCTGACCAGCCTTACTCAAGTTTCTCAGTGGGAGAAGCATGGGCATTAAATTGGAAATGTCGATAGGATATTTTGTCAGTATTTTGCGTTCGTTTTCTTTAGTCAGATTAATTTAGCCTGAAAGTAATAAAAAAAAAAAGATATTTTTGATCAGTTGTTTTGTTTTTTGATCAGACCTAGCCGGCACTAGAACGGAAATGAAAGTCGCCAGCTTGGATTTAAGTGACGCGTGAAGTCATGGAAGATCTGTGTAGAGCAGTTAAGGCCAATTTCTTATTCATATTGTTTAGGCTAAGTTTGGGTTCCTGTCAATGATATACAGGTATTCAAAGTTCCGTTCTTACATTTAGAAATATTTCTCCATGCAAAAACAATTTTTTAATGTGGCTGGGTTTTAAAACCAGTGATTGTAAACACTGGCGAAAAGTCAACTTTTATTCTCACGTGTCGTAGTAGCCACTACGTTACAAGGCAGGTGTTTACGTTGCAGGATTTGGCGCTACGGCGAAAGGTCATTTCCAAGCATGCGCACTTTGTCAATTTTTGGGCTTTTTTACTTCCGGCCGCCGTAGCAGAGGTCGCCGTAGCGATTTGCTTAAAATTCCCTAATGTCTGTCATGTGCGATGGAGTGGCATCGATACATATAGTAAATGCAAGCTGCAAAATTCAAGATGGTACTTCCATTTGGCTACTTCAAACACTTTTGGCATGTCGCGAACCAGATAAAAATTTATCTGACCTGGCAGCTCTTCAATGTATATTTTACAGGTCAAAATTAAATTCAGGTTGATTCTCAAGGAAACAGAGAGAATCAACCTACCTAAAAAAATTTTAACCTGACTAATATTGACCTGTAACATACATAGGGACTTTTCTCTCTGTTAGTAACCCATCCTAGATAGGTATTAATTATGTGATTGACCGTAGACTTTTAACTTCAAAAAAATACTGTCATTTACTTTACTAACGCAAAGCAATTCTTTTGAAAATAAAAATTCATACATTCTAGGGTTGAAATAAAAACAAATTCCTTTGAATTTATGGATATGTTGATACATTTCTTCACGAAACGCAAACAATTTCAATTGACTTGTGTACGTAATTACTTCTTTTGTAACGAAATATAAAATTCTAAGCATTACATGAACGTTATAGATCAACATTTCTCAAAAATACATTAATGCTGAGCTTATGGAAGGAAACGTACCTGGGTATTTTATGTGTGAGAGAGGGCGTACTTTCTTCAATGAATCTCAAACTTTATTGAGACGTCGACAGCCCGGCCGGTTTAATGCTCGACAGCAGTTAAAGGGAGTTATTTATGCGATTCGAAAACCAAAACGGCAATAAAATATAACTGGTTTTTAATTACTATGCCGGAACAATAAACCCCCGACGCTTCCGAATGCTTTTTTATTCAGTCCAAAAGTTTAACTTTCATACCTGAATTTTGCCGGCTTCCCTGTTAAAGCAAATAAAAGACGAGAACTAACTCATTCCTCACGGTATCTTTACAAAACTATTAAGGCCCACCTAGCCTTTGTAAAAACAAGGCAAGTGCTATACCCGTTAAAAAAAACCATATGATGTAATGAGATATAGGCAGTCTAGCTCAACAGAAACCAGTACCTTTTGGAACTTGTCGAAGATTTTTTAATGAGTGAGAAATTAATTTTAAGGCGGCCTCTTTATTATCGACAACTTTCTTGGAATAAAAGACTTTTTCTTGGTTATCAGCGAAAATAATACAAAATGTTCATCAGTCGATGGTGTTAATCATCGACTAGAGGCAGATAAGGGAATAAAACGGAAAGAGCAAATTAAATAAAACAAAACAAGTTATTACAATTCTCAAAAAGTAATTCGAGCTTGCCTCTGGCTTCCGTGTTATGAAAAGGGAGATGGAAACTACAATGTATTATAACATTCCGTCTTTTTAATCAAAGTATATGACATTTCTTTTATTTCCTTTTTTTTATCAAACAACTCAGTAAACAAAACTGTGATAAAGGTTACTAAATAAATCATTACATTTATCAGAGAGCAAAATCACTTTCGCGCATTGTCTCACTCTTCTTGGGAAAGCCTAGGGGACTAGATAAAAGGAAAGCCTTCCAGACTTCTCTGTTCTTAGCTTAGCTTTGCAGATGAGATTAATTTAAATGTAGAGATCCGTTAGTTCATTCCTCAAATTGTGAAAACTCAATGTTTTTGAAGCTTACTTTCAATTGTAAAGCTGCAAAAATTACTAAAAGACATATATCAGCAGACTGAACCTAATTAATTGCCAGGTTTACGTGAAATCACTTTTACGAATGGCGTAAGGGGCTCAAGCAGTCACGAGAAGGACGCAAGGGGAAAAGTAATAACAAAAGTATATCGTACTTTTTAAGCTAGTCTGTTCTTGTCCTTTCTTCAATTCACCACTATGACACTGGCCATAATAAACCTTGTTTACCCAACCCCCCCCCCCCCCCCCCCAAAAAAAATACAGAAGAATTGTCCTAAGAGAAAGCCAAAAACAATGCTTATGCAAAATTTTGGTCGATGAACAAGGTGTGTTAGTTGCCTAAATTTATAGTTTTTTTCAATAATTGAAATTAGAAGAACGGCTCATTAATTTGAAATGGATCGAAAGGAGCTGAAACGTATAGAGCTTTTTCACTCACGTGGCCAGCATCTATGCAAATTTATTGAAACAAAAGAGAGCGTTTTACATCCGAAAAGAGTTCCACTACCCACACAGGATTGGATTGAAACACCGATATGGCCGCCGTTTCATTATTTTGGAACACCAATATGATCGCCGTAACGTCATGTGTAAAGCCTCTATACAGTCTCGTTCTTGTTGTTGTCTAGAGGCCCTTACTGCTTTTGTATCTCATGTACAGCACAAGACTCAAATCCGTGAAAAGACTACTGTTGGGTTTCTCTATTAAATTCATCTAATTCTAGATAAAATGATAAAAGAATATAATTGAGTGATTATGTTTTATGTTCGCCCGGTTATTATCAAATATTCTATATTATAAACAAATGCTCTCGTTAGTGAGAAGCTGTACCGCTATACCGGAATTAATCAGTGCCTGCATGAATGAAAAACGATTATATCGTAAATTCAAATAGAGTCCACACTGCCGGCGAACTCGATATCGAAATTGCAATGTTGGATGTAAAAGGGAACCTCCACTTGATGTTACAACAAATTGTCTTCAACTTGTCAAAAATATATTTTGACATTTCAACTTCTTTCATAGGAAGTAGGAAGAAACATTTAAATGACCAGAAATTGGATTTGCATCTCCCTTTGATTTCTGCCATTTTGGTTGATTGTGACGTCATTAGACACTATTGTAAGAAGTAATAGTTCTATGAATTTCATTTATTTGAACTGCGATGAAAAAATAGGTGAAAAGAAGATCATCGCAGCTAAATACGCTACTTATGCAGTTGCGAAAATGGTTATAATACTGAGTGGATGATTAGAATAATTCAGTATTCACTGACAACGACAGCGTGCGGGCAAAGATTTAAGTTTATAAGTCCCCTTTCATTCCATTATTTATTTATTTATTTATTCATTTATTATTTTTTGAGAAAGGAAATATCATTTTTATAGTAGACTTAATATTTGAAGAACAATCTCAAAATAGTGAAGGTTTCCTGAACGAACCAAGTATTTCCGCACCGGTCTACAGGTAAATGCAATTACATTGATATTACTTCTCAACTATACCGGTCATTCTACGTAAGAATGGCCCTAAATTCAACAAAATATTAACTGAGCTGAGTAATAAATTTAGAGAACACTCCGTGGTGTTCTTGAAAATAAGGCACCGTTTCTCTGGAGTCGTGATATATTAAGAAAATGCCTTTTCTATTCTAGTCATTTTCAGGATCCAATCTGCAACATAACAAATAAAGTAACGTAAGTATAAATATGTTGGATGTAACCTTTACTTCAATAAAGTGGTTTTATTCAACAAATTTCATCTCGGATTAAATATAGGCACCGATCGACTAGAAGATGGAAAATTCGTGACACATTATCCATGAACGGAGAGAAGGACTTTATGACAATGCAATAAAAACCTTAAAACTCAAACTCACCACTTATACTCTAGTTGGACTGGAGTTTTCAAAATTGTCAATATGAGTTAAAATTCTGACGTAAGGAAACGGTGAAAGGCCGAAGAAATTATAAAAAGAGTGGCAAGTCAAGAGGGGGAGGGTGGAGGAGGCAAAAATGACTGTGGCACACTGATCTGGGTGGGGATGTGTCTGGGACCCTGGAACCCTTGACCTATACCAGAGCTAGTTCAGCTGAATTTTGCTACCCTATACTAGAGTAAACTTTCAAAAATCCCCTATCCTAGAGTAGCTGTTTCCCCAGTCTAGATAAAATATTCAACTAACTGATCAGTTTCCTGAAAAATGATACCCTATTCTAGACCCAAACGCTCTGATTTATATAACCTATCCTAGAGTAAACTGCTTGAAAACCATATATATGGCCCAAATAGCCCATATATGGCAACCCCCCGTTTCCTTCTTGTTCTGGACTTTTCTCATTTCGCCCGCCACTCAGGCTAGAAAATTTTAGGACCATATATGGCAAATAGCCCAACGCTACTACTGTTATATAGGCCCATCATGTCCGTCCGGGTAGTCAATCAGAACGCAGAATTCCTTTTGTCTTGCCCGATTGCAAATTCAGCCACATGATAAATTAGAATAACTTTTTCTTTGAATAAGGTTCATACAGAGTTTTTCTGGGTTTTGGCTTGGCGGGAACCCTGGAATGAGGAGGATATCTTATATTTTTGTTATGCGTTTCCTGCTTCTTACGTTACTCAGATGCTGTTTCTGGAGACAAACTGTGTAACCCGACCATTCTGGATTAAATTCACCTTAATCAACATGCTCACCTCGAAACAGAAATTCCCTTTTCAAGCTTTTCTTCTACTTGAGCAACTTCCGGTTGTGAATTGAATGTCATCCACCGCCATGTCACTTGTGTAGCTTTTACCAATCACGCCGACGATACCGATCTAAATAGACAACATATTCGAAAGAGATAGCGGTCAGCCTTTTTCAAGCAGCCTTAAACAAGAAAAGGACTAAAAATAGAGACCTTTACATTCTAAGACAAGTAATACCATGGGTACGAGATTTTCTTAATACAAAGTAGTGCACGCTACGTGCGTAAACCTGCGTCATTTTGGCGGGAAAACGTGTTAACCGTCTTCACTCTACTACGAGTTACAGCGAGAATGTTAAAAATGTTATCTTTAAATTTTCGGGAAGTTTTTCAATTTATCATTTTTTTAATTTGTATTGCGTGTGGGCATTTTAAAAACAACATTAGAAATGGTAAAGTTATGTTACTCGAAGAAAACGTTTTAAGCCGCATTAGAACGGTGAGCTTATATTAACAATAGAATGGTAAAGTGTCCTGCAATGATCAGTTGGGGGAACATTTACAGATCAATTACTCGTTGTTTCTCAGTGCATAAGTAGTACAATATTACATTATTTTTAAGCAAAATATGTTTCCATCCCGTTGAAACTCACCCAGTGAACAGCAGACTTTCCATGCTTAAGGTCCAATTCAGCTTGGTGCCATCTGTTTCTATGATTTCCCGATTTCTGCCACGCAATCTTCCTGGTGTCTCGGCTTCCCCTCAAACCTTGTGTGAACTCAATAGTTTTAGGCTGGTCGTCATCCGCAGGTTCGTCTTTTATTGTACCTTGCTTGATAATATGCACAATTTTGAGAGAGCCCATAGCCCTGCCATACATGTGATACCAGAAGCGCATGCAAAAGGAACTGCCCTCAAGCTTGAGGAGAAGAAGAGCGGTGTCTCCCCTTCTGCGTGGATTAGAAGCTTCTAAGTAGATGTAATGGCCTGGTTTGTTTGTTAAAGAAAAAGAAATATCAATTGAGTTGTTATTAAATTTGAAACGAAACTGGATTATTTGAGAGATGGCTGGTAATATAACTTCTTAGTTCCCGAGAAACCGTTCATGTCCATCTCCGTTGGAGAGGTCTGCACCCATAAAGCTGATTCTGAAGTTAATAGTTGTTAAATAGTTCTACTTCTTTTCTAGAACCCTAGCAGGGTGGACATGCAATCATCAGAAGATTACCTTTTGGACGTGTTTGACCTTTTGTATGGTCAAAACTTGGTCCAGTTGCGGAAGATGGTGTTCTTCCTGAATTCCTGGTCCAATCAAAAACGTTATCCTTAACGTTTTGCCATTTGCAGAAGCCTTTGTCAAAGTCACAATTCCCTTGGGGCAACAAGAAAAAACCCATTAATTCACCTCTTATTCTACGAGGGAAAAATTCTGTATATTAAAACAGAAAAGAATAACTTTCTTTACCTCAAACCACTAGTAGAAAACAACCGAAACATTTCCGTATTGGCTACATATATAAGCTGTCACTAATCTGATTGGTTCCAAACTAAAGATACCTGCTTCTTATTTATTTATTTATTTATTTATAAACTTCGCCAAGAGGCTTGGATCACTCACAGAGCAAACTCCACTACGAGGTCCAGAAAAAAAAAGAAAATTAGTAATACAACTAACGAGAATCACAATACTTTAGAAACCACAAAAAAAAAAATAAGAAACGGAAATGCAAAAACAGAATTGGGAAGGACATCGATTAAAAATCAACAACACATACGATCGAGCAAGCTGTTCAATGGCCGACTAATGTGGCACTTAGCCCAGTTATGCTTAGAAAACTCCATACAAACCCCTCTAATTTTTTTTGGATCGACCCAAAAAAAATTAGAAGGGTTTGTATGGAGTTCAATTTTCTGAGTATAACCGGCTAACATCTCAGAGACAATTTGCCCCGAGATGCTCATTTTTGGTAACTAAGTAGGCGTCTTGGAAATTGTTCTTTCAGAATATCCTGACAAATCCCATAATTTCAGAAATTTCATTTTTATGACGTCATCACTTTGGTACTCTATTGTTTCATGGTTTTTGTTCTTTTGTTTTACGTCAACTGTGTTCGGTACACGAGGTAAATGCCGATATGGTTTAATTTCTACATTGAGAAAGTTCCTGACTATCCCGGCTGTACTGATAATGTTGGCAGTCTTCATGGATAGATTAGATTCTGTCAATTATTCGATAATAACGACTTCAGACAGTCAAAATACATTCATATCATGAGTCGGGAGTGAAACCGTTTTAATTTTTGATACCGACTCGAAATCCGATTACTCACCATCCCTTGGATTCGGTTGTTTTCCAGCCTTCCCGCTCAAACTTTTGCATTCCTTTACATCGAGGATAGATATTTCATCAATAGCGATGTCGCTAAGATAAGATTTGCCTCGGACTGCTACAAAAGATATCTACAGAAAAAAGCATTTAAAAGAAGGTCAAGTCCTCTACAAAGTGCATTTAAGACAAAGAAAGGAAAAAAAGCGCTCTAAATTTATAAAATATTTTTTGTTAGTGGTAACACCCGAGGGATTGGGGGAAATTCTCGACAGTTATGCAAACCCTCGACTTCGTTTCGGGTTTACAACTGTCTCGAGTTCTCGCAACCCCTCTCGTGAATATACCAGGTTTTACAAACACGGAAAACGTTTTCTATTGCTTAAAAAATTACCGTGTATTGCTCTCCTTTTAATTCTTGCAACTGAAAGTTCCAGTAATCCCCCTGTTCGCCCTTCTTTGTCCATACAACTTTGGTTTCGTTATTCATTGAGTTTCGCTGCACCAGTCGCAGTTCTTTGACATCCTTACCATACATATAGTAAGAAAAACTTAAACAAACTGGAATTCTTAATGTTTCGCTCTCCAGACGGACTTCTTGCCCTTCTAGTAGGTCTGAGGCTTCCATATAGATATAGAAACCTGCATGCATGAGAAAAAATAGCGTCATTTATTCGTTCTTATATCACTGTACTTATATTTCATTTGATGAATTGGTTTTGATCACATTGAATCGAATACGATTCCCAGGATGATTAACGCAATTGGTGCATGTACATTTATGCTGTTATCCTATTATTGCGATCAAGAGGAAGCTTAAGTAAAGACGACGGCGACGGCAACGAGAATGGCAAAAAGGCAACATGTTTAGATTAGCAAAACAACAACTTTTCACGTGCATCATGCACGACGTAAAAATGCCTATTTTCACTTTTTTAAGGACGTGAACAGCCGGAAGACAACGACTTTCCTTTTCTTTTCCTGTACTTTGACACAGTTCTTTAGTATTCAACCCCAGAAAAATTTGCCAACATTTGACGAACTGAACGCCGGAGATAGAATAAGTGCGACAACTTTTTGAAACAGCGCGAATTTACTTTTTAAGTGATGTTTTCGCAGCCGTCGTCGTCGTAGTTGCTTTACCTCCCTCACAACAACAACATCTTTATTTCTTACATTAAATATACAAATATCACACCACCTGCAAATAGCAAGGCTAATCGAGGCAGGTGGTGTGTAGACGGCTTAAGATTTATTACGAATAGTTATTTAGATAAGCGGGGGCTAATATTTTTTAAAATCGGAGATTATCGTGTTTAGGTCGTCGAACTCGTCGGTATACTCTTCCAAATTTTGGCTCCCATAATAGAAAACGAATCATTTTTCTGATTTAGTCTAGAGTGGCTAATGTAATAATTTCCTCCACCAAACATTAACATCGAAGAAAGCTTAAAATAGAGCATTGTAAATAATATTAGAGTGAAGAAAGTAAGGGACCCGAAGACAACCACGCCGCCGAGGCGGTGTCGATAAAAGTGACCGCGCTCTTGACCCGGGCCCAACAATTTTGAGCACCTACCATTTCCGTCAAAGTCATAATGAGGTCCAGTGTTAAAGGAGGGTGTGTCATTGGCGTATATTTTCCAGTCTCCACCGTCATTGAGTGAATTTGTCCAGCCACACAAACTTTGCGAAAAGGTACATGTCCCTATGATAACGTTAAAAACAAGTTGAGCAACGCACGAGCCTTAAGCAATACTCCTACAGATGCAAGAGTTCTAATATTGAACTTGTCCTAACTCGTGAATTCAAAGTAGTTCGTTTGGGATTATTATTTTTAGAATGTAAAGGAGCGTTATGTTCTCTACTTAAGTTATAAATGTCTTTGTGAGGTCATGATCATGGGAGACTCAACAAAATTGTTAGCCCATTTAGCAAAAGTGAAAAAAAGGTCACGTGAAGGGAATATTTTTGAAGCTTGCTTCGCCTTTTCCTTCTTTTACAGCAAAATATTTGACATGTTAATGATTTACGGTGCAAGCTCGCTTTGATGCGCTTTTTTTAATCGGTGCCGACTGAAATAAACAAACCTAAGTTCTTTCTGACAGGTAACATTTTTCAATTGGCTTTTTCGAAAAATGGAAATTTCATCCTGAGGGAACAGAGGGGTTTTATATTGTGAGTGGGGTAAATGCCGTCATTTCCAAAATTATTCTGAGACAAGTTTGTTAGTTTCCTTGAACGATTTTGCCCGCAAAAAATAATCTCGATCACTCGTTCCTGTGTCTTGTCAACGAAGGCTGGAGGAACTGAAGAGGTTTTAAAAATTATTTAAACTGAAAATCAACAGGATGCAGGTGGAACGAAAAAGTTTTGCCCTCGCCTATAACTTAACTGCACTTACGGTATGGTGGAGGAGGTGTTGGCAATATAACTGGTGTATTGGTAGGCGATACGGCACTAACATTGGTCTTATTAGGACAGAGCCCTGGAGTAAATTGCAATTCGTCTAAAGCAATATCTCCACGCCATCCCCCAACGAACGCCTCGATTTCAACCTGCGTGTAAACAGAAAAAGTTGTTAGTTACAACTAACTCGAAAAGTAAAGTTTAAATTTTATTTGACAAAAACAACAAAGATATTTAATGATAACTACATCAGATTCTGTCCTTGTATTTCTAGAACGATTAACCTAGAAATCAGTGACCTTCTTACTCCACATTCAAACTTAAATGCTGTAAGCTGACTGAGACAACTTTCAGACAGATGGTCTCGCTTGGGAGTTTTGACGACAGATTTAATTAAATTTATAAGAATTAAGACCTTAAATGACTGCATCTTGGTACAGAGAAGGAAAACTTTCTCCTCTCTACTCTCCCTACCCTCCCTTCTGCTCCAACAGTAATTTAGAACATACATGGTACTCCTCAATGCTGCAGTCAAGGTCGACCTGTCCCTCAAGCCACTGATCTCCATGGTTACCACTTTCTTTCCACTGAAGAATTCCCCGCCTATAAACTGAAAGTGAACCAACGTCCTCTCCGTACATGTGATACTTGAATTGCATGCACTGTTGTCCAGACAAAAGATCACTAACCATCACGGCTTTATCTCCCTTCATACGAGGCTCAGAAGATTCTATGTAGGCATATTGGCCTAAAAATGGAAATACAAAGTTACTACACTTTCTAAATGCCGAAAATTACGTCAGCACACTGAACTATTTTTATTTTTAAAACCACACTAGAGTTATATAGCGCACAGTTCCAAATTCAGAAAATTTACATCTCAGTACACCGAAGAACTAAGAGTAAGACATGCAAGGGATCGTACTACAAAGAGTGATGCTTTTGTGTGTGTGTGTGTGTTTTTTTTTAAAAGAAGTGGCACTTTTTAGAGTTCAATTAACCTCTGTAACCTTCCTGTAGTAACGCTTGGCAATACTAGCCCAGGATAAATATCCATTGATGAGAATACTTCCAGAAGCGCCCTTTTGAGGGTTACTATGAGAAAACATCAGATCAACCCAATATTAGAGAGGACATATTACATTAGCTACATTTAAAGGGTTTCACTTAACTCTAAGATGTTTTTATTGCCACTAATGTCTAATACGCTTCAGTAAAAATTGCCATGAAATACCTTTGCCCGAAGCGTCCGTAGTAGGCCCCGTCATCCCCCCGCTTTCTTTTCCGCTCTTAGTCTGTCCACTTCCTAAGCTCCAAGCAAAACTCGACTTCACAGAGTGCCCCCAGTTACAGAACGTGCCTTTATCGAAATCGCAGTTTGCTGATATAGTACAGAGAATATAAACATGGCATTGATAAGTAGGTTGATTATTTAATATTATAGAAGGTTCTACTAGAGTCTGGGTAAGTTTAAAGTAAAGTTTAGGAAAAGAATAACAGATATAAGTTAGTCTGCTGGCGCAGTTTCCTATTCTCCAACGCATAAGGTTAGGCTGGCTCTTTTGTGTTGAAATTGTGACTCAGGAGACTGGCGGTCGGGAACGGTGAGTAACTCCAAAACCTTATTTCAAATTAAAATTTATTTCTCGAAAAAAGCTGAAATGAAAGGGGGCATTTTAAAGTCATCAAGAAATTACCCATGCCCAGGAAGTCTTAGTTTAATAGGGCCACACTAAGGTCGTTGCTGATGTCTACAGAGTTAACCATAACTTTCTCTTTTATCCGCCTAACTGTTGGAGTCAAGGGTACAGATATCTAATATATACATATAAATTCCATCTACAAATGTGTTACCTTTCTCTGTTTTCTCTGGAGTGTTCCGTATTGAGCAGCAACTGCCATTTTTTGTAAAAACATCGTCGAGCCCCACTACTGATTCTCGAGCTCCACTAAGGCGAGACTCAAAAACAAGCTAATACCGGAGGGAAAAAATTGTATCAATGAGGCGATCACGAATGTTTTCAGTAAAATGATGACCAGCCTCTTTCATTCCATGTAAGGTAATCCGAATTCCGGAATTCCTATTCCGGAATCTGGGAAATTTTTGCTTGTGGAATGGGGAATCCATGGCCTTGGAATCTGGAAATTAAGTCAGGGATTCCGGAGTCCATTAGTTCCACATACATGGAATCAGCAATCAAGTACCTGGAATACGGAATCCACAGCGTGGAATCCAGAATCCAAGACTGTCGTGGTTTGCCTTAAATGAGGCTACTCCTTAATCAAGGGGAACGAACTACTAGGTCAACCTTTCGTTGCTAAATTACATTAAAGTTGACTAATTATTGTACACACCTGATAGCAATTTTCATGTTCCTCTTTAATGTCCACCAGCACTCTCGTCCAATCCTCAGTTTGGGCTCCCACTCCTGTTGTAAACCATAGTCGATCCTCCTTACTGTCTATCCTTTTAGACACTCTCAACTCGCTTCCCCTAAAGCGCTTCATAAAGTAGTATAATTCGAGGCACTTAGGACCACACAGTCTTCGGCTAATCAGACGCGAAACCGTTGCTTGTTGTTGAGGCTGCCGATTTGAATATACAAACTTCCCTCCTATGTGAAAGAAGCGGAAAGAACCTTAATTGAGTTGGCACCTTGTATACAGAGTTCATTTGCTAGTTAGATTTCTTAGTTTTGCCCGCACATTAGACAGCAGGATCTAAAGACTTAATTGAGGGATCGAACGGGAAAATAAAAGGCGTTTATGTTCTTGATTTAGTTGTCTTAGTTGTAGGGATAAGTTTCTTCTCGGATTTAATCGTAGTGACTTAAATTGCATACAAAGTGATTAAAGACAGTACAGTACTACAGCGGCAGAGGTTACTTCCAAATATTGTCTGAAAGCAGTAAACAGCAAGGGAAAAACTAACCTCGAGTAGTTTTGAAACCCTATGTAGGTTCGAATAAGCGATAAGCCCCTCAAATTACTCGGGTAAAGAGAGGTCGTCCTCTCTTTCCTGGCCAGGAAAATGATTATGTTTGTCGTTGCATAAGAGGAGTTCTAAATAACATAGAGTCGCCTTTGAGAAATGCTTACACAGGAAATGGAAACTTTCAAGACGCAAAAGTAAATAAATGAGTAATCAGACAACAGCGACCTATAGCAGGCTGGCGTACCCAGTTTCTTTCCGTGGTCTTGTCTTGCAGCAACCGATGCAGGAACTTGGTTGTCTCTGTGCGAGGACAAGCGCCATGGCTTTTTTCCGACACCAGACAAATCATTGCCCCAGTCGCAAAATCCCAAATCAAAATCACATCTATCTGAAACTGCCGAAAAGCAAAATATGATAATCAGCATCAATATAAAAAATTGGGAGGTAATTGAGGGGTATTTTTTTCTTTTAATGCAAGTGCCATTACTGCTGTGTTCACCTGTCATGAGAGGAGACTAAGAGCAACTTGATATTAATGGTTTTTTTTTCATTTATCAGGTTTAAAACTTTTAATATAACGGTATATATCTAGAATTTTCCCCCAACAGCGCGCCCTCTGCGAGTGGCTGTTTCGAGGCACAAGACATTTTTTAAACAATAAAACCGTTTCTCGCCAAAAAGGCCTCTGAGCAATGTTGACCGCTAGCTTAGGTTTTGTACTCTTGGAGGTTACTCTCCATGGGCTATATAACAAACCACTTAATGAGCTGGTCCCCTCGACTCACAATTTATGAGATTATCGATGAAGTGTTGAACAGCACGTTTAGATACTGAACAATCACGCGTGTATTACAGCAATCAACAAGCCTGCAGAAATATTTTTGCACTTTTTAGCACTAAAAATGGAGTTTAACTCTCACCATTACCATTTTTTCCTGACTCTTCTTCATCGACAGTTGGAACTGGTTCTCCTCTGCAGGAGCCTTTCACAAATGAAATTTCATCGATTGCAATGTCTCCCGTGTAACTGTTTCCCGTGACACCTTCGATAATGATCTGCAGCAACAGTAAACAGTACGGCTATAAGATTAGGCTGAACTACTTTGTTTAACAATTATTCCTCGAGCCCGAATGGGCTCTGAGTTAATTGCGCTATTGACTCAGAGGCGATGAGGGCGAGAGGAATAATCGTTTTAGTAAAATACAACTAGTTTGTCAAAAATATCGAGACAAAACAACTTTAGCTAACAAAACGCGATTTAGTCGCCATTGTTTTGGTTTTCAAAGTAGCTCAACCAATCAGAACTAAAAAGTATTATGCCACAGGTGAGGGGGTTAGCTGGAATTTCTCAATCTTTACTTTGACAATTAGCACAGCCATTACGCGACTCTATCTTTGCGCACGTCACTCGTCCAATAATGTTTCAATTTTCAGTCGACTGACCTTCTTCGTCGAATAATTTTTTTAAAAACTCGAAGATTGTCGGTAACCTTTTAAGTTGCTCAGAATTTTCCGTACTAATGACTGTGGAAACGTAAGCCAACATCGCAAAGGAAGAAATTCTTTGAAAAAATAATAATCAAAAATTTGTGTAAATTCCCACTGCCGCACAAGTTTGACTTATCAGAGAACTTACGTAGTAGTTGTTTCCGTAAACAGTAACATTGTCTGTTTTCCATTGTCTTGCAATGGTTTGTTGCCCTTTTCTCCACCAAATATTTAACTCGCTGCCGTGTAAAACGTGATAAATGTTTAGCTGTCCTATGGTCCTGCCATGCATGTTGTATGCGAATCGAAGACAGTACACCCCTTTGAGTGGACCAGTCATTAATCGAGCTTTGTCCCCGCGTTTGCGAGGAGAGGAGGATTCGATATAGGCATAGTAACCTAAAAGAATAAAATAAAATGTTATCACTTTCTGTTATCACTAATTCTGACCAGCCGGTCACCTGTGATCTAAACTGAATAGATTAAAAAAAAAGGTAATGTATTTGTTTTATAGACGGACACGCGACAGAGTGAACTTGTTGAACAGGAAGACACCTTACCTTTTTCAGAGACATCCTTGATTGGACCTGTGCCAGAACTTGGTGTAGAGTCTCGATCTAACGACCAGTCAAATTTGTCATCCGGTTCACTAACTTGATGCCAGTTACAGAGTGTAGAGGAATCGAAGTTACAGTTACCTATTAAATTGTAAAACGAGAAACGATTGGCTATTGATTGATAAGCTAAATTCCTTTGAAAATATAGACACAAAACGTATTTGCATGCATAACAGTCAAATCTCTGTAAGACAGAAACCTCTGGAACTGGCGCTAGACTTCCGTCTTGGAGAGATGTCGGTCTTCTAGAAACACAAATAAAGGGAGTAAAGAAAGTTAGGGACCAACTCTAGGTGTGTGTTTTACAGAGGTATCCGTCTTAAAGAGGTGTCCGTTGAGAGACAAGTCTTAAGAGAGAGTCGGCGGTAAATCTAGTCCGTAGTTTTGAAAATGCTGTTGCGCCTCTCCATGCCCTGTATGCCTTTGTTCTTCTTTTTCATGTCGTTCAGTGATGAGGCCATAGTAAAAATCAGGTTTGGTGGAGTTATTATTGACATCTTCAAAACTAACAGTAAGTCAATACAGTAAAAATTCGTGACTAGGAACCTGGTTTTTAAGAACCCGGTTAGGGTAAAATTTGCCAATTAGGTGCCCTCTACACGAGAATCTGAGACATATAGGTGCCTTTACTCCGACTACAATGTAATGTTATGCAGATTTTAAATGAGGAATAAGCTGAATACCACCAAATACTCCTAGCTACAACGTACTTTTTCAGAAAATAAGAACCAATAACCTAAATTTGTACTATTACTAAATTATGTAAGAACCCGTTTCCGGTCGGCTAAATGTTCGGGAAATGCAGGTTCTCATCCGCGCGGTTTTCACTGTATTCATGCACGCGAAGAAGAAGAAGAAGAAGAAGAAGAAGAAGAAGAGGGGGTTAAGTTTATTCACTTCAGTATAGTATATAAACTTCGCAATCGCGAAACTGAATAACGAAGAAATGATTGATATTTGATAAATTAATAAAAGAAAAAAAATTTGAAAAAGTGAAAAGCAATTAGAGAGTGCCAACGAAAACTTAATCTTTCCGCAGCGATATATGATTCGTATTACCCAGGGATAAGTATCATGAGCATCGGCTATACTTCGAACGTTTTCAATTTCTTTAAAAACGCAAACAATTTAAGCGGTCAATTTACCCCAGATGGGCGTCCTCTTTTTTAAAATCCCTTAGTTATGGTTAGTTAACTTTTTCACTGGTACTATATATTTAGAAGAATTGTCTGCGTGTCATATGTCGTTGACAAAAAAGATGTACAACAACTAGGAACATTTACTTTTGTCTGAGAATAAACAACTTGTCCTGAGGTTTTGGCAAGGCAATGGGAAGAAGAAATATTTAAATCTAGATTACCGCACATTTGTTATCCTTGCAAATTTTTGGTCTCACCTGTTGAGAATACTGTTTTCTTTCAAAGCCCGTAAAAGTGACCCGAATTAGCCAAAGACTGGTCAAATTACGACAGTATAAATTGATTCATATAATGTTCCTTTGCAGAACTTTCTAGAGACAAAATCAGTTCCAAGGGAGGGAATTTTCTCTGACTGTAGATTCTCAATTAAACGGCAACAAATAAGAAGCAAAGTGGCGAAAGCAAATAAAAGTTGCTTGCTAAATTACAATTTATAGTTAGTACTTTTAAATGATCCAGAACACATGATCCAGATGGACATAGTGCACAGCAGGAAAAAGAGATCAATATTGAAAGTTTCGATTTTTTCCTTGATGTTTTGTCCAGCCATGACTCTTTCCAAATACAGATGTTAAGTAATCTTGAACAAAGTAATCGACAATGAGATGTCTGACGAGAGGCTGAGAAAGCGCGTCAGAAGTCAAGCACTGGTTCATGAAAAATCGACTTTATTTTCCTCTCTTTTAACGAAAATTGCAAGTTGCGTAAGTGCTGCCAAATCAAAGTTTTGAGTACCAAGTCCCAGTTCTGTCTTTTCGAGATCATGAGATACAAGTCTATTCAAATCCGGCAAAAATATACCAACAAGCAAGAAAACTTAAATAGGTTTCGTTGGTCTTTTTCCTTTCGTATGCCGGACACATTTAAGACAGACGTAATGTTGCTGTCGTTGTCTTTGCAGTGTTTCATAATGAGGAAAGCGATTAAAAAAACTCAGTAGTCTTAGGATCATAGGAACATTTTGAATCATTTTCGGTGGTTTTACCGAGGGACAAAGTTATAGTTTCAAGTTATAGTTTGCTCAGTTAGAACTTTTCAATCTAGAAATAACTATTAAAAAAAATTTTAGTTTACAACTTTTTGTGCCTTTTGGTGTGAAAAAACCACTTTCATTAAAGTTAGCAACTGATTTAGACAGGACAAATACAAAGCATTAACTTACCACTGACTTCGGTTTTCTGTGGATTTTGTTTAGGGGCACAGAAAGCATTAGGTAGGAAAGCTAAAATAAGCACAACCACGAAGCGAAGCAAGGAAAACTCCGTCATAGCTCAAAGAAAAAAGTTTCTTCTCTGACTTCGATCACTGTGCGGCTATCCTTGCTGGCTAGTCTGACTGATTTCCCTCAGCTGCTCGCAGCTTTAAGACTAGGTACTGGTATTTAAGACATGCAGGAATCACGGCTTGAAATTATAGCTTTGTATTGCAGTTTGGGGTGTTGATGAAAGAAAAACATGACCCCTAAGTCAGATGACAACGAGGCGTTTTCCAATATATTGGGGCGATTAAGCTATAATGGCTTAATAATCTGATGTATGTAATCAAGTGTCATGTGTCTACCAGACACATTTGGTTTTTTTGCCTTGGCTCTGGTTCAAAATTGTCGGGAGAATCAAAGAAACGCTTTGAAATTTCAATTGATCAGTCAGCTTTAAATAATTTCTAGACACTAATGTAGATTAGACTTTTTTCGCTTTCCCCCAGAGTTAGGACGTCACGTTTTTCAAACAAAAACTACATGTACCAATGACTGAAAATGATTTTACATAGAAAATTAACAACTTTTATAAATGGAACTTACAAAAGACTATAACATGACTGTGTAAGATTTTAAAACACTGGCAAAAACTAAAGAAAACGCAACGGCTGGAACATTTACCCTGCCCTATGGTTTTCTGTTAATTCTTTTACATAACTCTTGTATAAATTTACCTTTTACAGAGATTTGAAAGTATTAAGACGAAGCAATGATATTTTCACAAATTATTCAAAACGTATTTTTTCAAAAGGCGCCGTGAGGAAGAACAAGTGAATTAAAGTTTTACTTTACTAAAGCTTTTAACATATTAAAATTTTCAGCTAATTATTTTTCTGTGGCTTCTTTACTACTGTTTCGGGCGGGTATTTTCAGGTGAAAACCAAAACTGACCTGAATGGAAAAACAGGAAATAACATGATACCTTAGGATTCTGAAGGTTAAGCGGCTCCGTTACTTTCGGAACTGGCAGCCCTCAGGGGCCAAATCCTTTGGAGATGTCGTTGGGTAGCACCTAATTCGGATGGTCTTATCTTTGTACGGGTATTTAAAAAAATAAAGAAATATAAAGAACGGGGAAAATTCAAAGAAATCATTTGAACGAGGGAGTTATATCCCCAAAATACGACGCCGGGCGCTCTAACTCAAAACCAGTAACCAGTGGTGGTACTTAATATTATTTAAACCTACTTTTAATTTGGAAATGGTAACCTTAACAAAAACCTTACTTCGTCATTCGCTGTTGACCGTTAAGTTAGGATGGGCGCGGGACTGTTGGAGGCCATCTGGCAAATGTCTCTTACTTTTAAGGGGCACTTAACGACGGTTCTCACCCAAATGCTTTAAGAACTTGTTCAAGGGTACCTACTGAGCAACTCAACTCTGAGAGGCGTCGTTCATACGACTCGAGCAACTTTAGCATTTTCAAATTCTTTACAGCTTTCTTATATTTTTCCCAAATCGAGGATGTTCCGCCGCCTGGTTAGCTCAGTTGGGAGAGCGCCGGTCTACTGAGCGGGAGGTCGCGGGTTCAAACCCCGGCCGGACCAACACTCAGGGTCTTTAAATAACTGAGGAGAAAGTGCTGCCTTTGTAATAATATCTGCAAACGGCTAGACTTTCTAGTCTTCTCGGATAAGGACGATAAACCGTAGGCCCCGTCTCACAAGCCCTTGCACATGTATTAAATCTGTGGGACGTTAAAGAACCCACACACTCTTCCTAAAGAGTAGGGCACGTAGTGCCCGGTGTAGTGGTCTATCTCACTTTCACACTCATGTATGGGGGCATCATTACTCATTCCTTCATTACTTGTAAACTGCACCTTAAGCAGTCTGGCAAAGTCCCCCAACCAGTGTTGTAAATTATCCCTGAAAAGCCCTGAGGGGAGTGGATGATAAGATATTTACAATTTACAATTTATGGTTTGCGAAAACGAAAGATTTTCCATCTCTCTCCTTCACTATTTTTCACACCAAAAATCGGCGGGGCGAAAAGGTAAAATTACGAAAACTAAAATCTTAGGGAAGTTATTAGAGGAAAAATTCCAGATATCTGCAGAGATGGATTATAGTCTTAAATTTTTGTCTTTTCGAGCCATAGAAATTTCTAGACAAAATTTACTTCTTGCAGAAACAGATGTTTTGTAGTACTTCTTGCCCCAGACTTAATTATATAAGGAGCCCTTGCAATTCGATCTAAGTACTTCAGTCAATTACTAGAAATAGGCTCTATGTAGTAGTAATTTATTAAAAGAAAGCGAATTCGGGACTTGCATGTAAGATGTAACAGGATACCAGACAAATGCACACGAGAAATTTAGCTTAGCAAAGTAAACAAATAAGACTTTGAAAAAACCTGTTTTCAGATTTTTTTTTTGTTACTTAACAACGCTCGATCAGCAGCGTGAAATCAAATTTTATAAAATTAAATCTCTCCGGAACGTTTGGTAAACGAAGGCGTTTTTATTTATATTACCTGCTACAAGGCAGCGCAATGAATTGTTCTACTGAACTTTAATATCTAAGTTTACTTAATTGATCGAATACTAAAACGATTTCTCGATATTGTGCATAAAATTTTGAGCTCACTTTTTATATCACGACCATGTTTCTCCTATTATTGAAACATCGATTGCCAAATTTATCACTGATTAATTGATAGTGCGCTTCTGATTTTGTAAGGGAAACCTATTTTGCATTGAATTGAAAATGCTGAAACTGTTCATCGCACATCGGTGACTTATACGATTTCCCCTTATAATTAAGTCATTTAAAAATATTATAGAGGGTCATCACTCGTTATAGTTTGCAACTTGTAATCTCTTAAGTTAAATTGTAGTCCTCCGCTCGAAATGTTCAAGAAGATTGCAAAACCCGGCACTACTCTTTGTAGCATCCAGGAGTGAGTATTCTTCCCAAAATTAGCTTACAGAAAAGTACAGTTTAAAGACCACCTACACAGAAACAAAGCTCCAACAGAGCCTTGGTATTTACATGTTGTTATTAAGAAAAAGATTCCTCGGTTTCCATTTGGTAACCCAGTAGAGTACATACACTTGTACTAGTACCAATTCGTAGATATTTTCTTCTTAAAAACGTTCTCATTCAATGGGCATTCGTCTTTTAGAAAACCCAATTCGGTACAAGCCAAAAACCAAAGTTCTTGGCTAGTGTATGGTACAACGCCTTGACAACAAACCTACACACCCTTTTTTCTGCGCTGCTAATGAGCTGGCACAGTACTTGAGAGTAGATATTGTACTAACCTGACTTTTGAAAATCATTATTAAAATTTTTCTCAACAACCTAAGGTACTGAACTTCATTGAATTTCAGTGGGCTAAACGATTTAACTTCAAGGTTATGACGTAAAGTATGCTTTATTTGTCGCTCAAGTACGTCTTCTTCAATCACAAATTGCTGTGCAAATGGTAAACAAATAGTTCTTTTCTGAAAGATTGAGAAATACAGTTTTTTGGCAAACTTCACTTTGAAAATGGGGTTAACGAGACGCATCAATTTTTAGGAAAGGTTTCTCCGTGGCATATTTAGTAAACAACCCAACTGCCTTGAAATTAAGAAGTAGTTTGTTTTTAGTTTGAAATTAACACCCACCTTCGCTCCCACTTCTGATGACATATCCGTCACTGGAAAGAACCAGGATTGAGACTGCCAGCCAAACGGTGAACAACACTGCTTCCATGTTGAAATGTCGTCCTTATAGCCACGTCGCTCAGGCTTCTTAGCTTAGGTCGACGTCGTCTCGTAAGCCTGCTGTATCTCCAATGAAGGCAAATGGCTCGCTTTCGACAATTTATAGCAGTCATCTTTTACCAGTAGCTAAAAATGTCAGGTAATTTGACTAAGTCTTGAAAGAAATTGGTTTTAAATATTTGAAGCATGGAAATGTTTTGTTCCTAAGAGCAAAATTAATTTAAGATATTCCATGTTGTTTGTAATATGAGTGAAGATTTGAGTGAATCCCGATAGGGAGTAATTGTAACTGTGTACTTCGTTGACAATAAACTATTAAACAACAGCATAAACAATGATTTTAATTGCATTGGGTATTTCTGAAAAATGTAAAGCAAAAAAGCTGATTTCCACTGATGTTCTTTAGATTTCTTTCAGTTGCAATGATGAAAGGGAAATTTGTTTTGGAACCATTAAAAACAAACTTAACAAACGCCATTTTGTCTTTCTAAATTTCAAAACAAGTACATCTCTCCAGTAGTCCGTTTTACTTTCACCGCAAAATGTTTTCTCATTAACACCTATCTTGTCTAAAATGTACGGTACTATGCTATACTTTTTGCCCGCGAAGATAGCTGAAATTCAATGCTTGACTGGAACAAACCAACTACAGATGAACAAACTACAGATGAACCTAACATATGCAATACATAAAGCAGTCGGTATTTTCAGGTGATTTGATGTAAAATACCAAAAAAGAAAGCAACATTTTCATTCGATATCGAGACGTAGAGAAGTAGGGTAGAAAAACAAGGTCAATCGAAGTTTTCTATTAAGACCAACTTTTGTGAAATCAGATGAAACGCCGAGTGGAGTGTTCGATGCGAATAACTTCTCAAATGCTAAGTTATTCTCAAAGAAATTTTAACCAAAAACATTTTGCTTGATATTTAGGAATCATTTATACATTTGCGAAGCAGAACTTTCAAATTCATTAATAATTCATAATGCGAGAACACACTAAATCACTATACCGCGATGGAAGGTTATTATAATGCGATCATTATATAAAACTTTCTACAGTGTTTTATCCTGAATTGAGATACCTGAAGAGCGTTCGAAACGAAATTAGGAAAAACAAAAACAAAACAAAAAAAACAGCAACGCGTTACTTTGCAAAGTTTTCGATCACTGTTGGGTATTAGATAAAACACTCTTTCTCGTGTTTCAGGATTTGATCATACGATTTTCTTTTTACGTGAGATGGAAGAATGATGTTATTTGTATTTTTATTAATTTCTGTAGTTTTTTTAATAGGA